ATAATGGCATTATATAATCTATGTAGCTAATCCCACTTAGTGAAATAAGGTTTGTTGTTGTTGTCATTATTGAAGTTAACATTTTGAACAATATGGACAATAATTCAATGTTTTCGAAAAATAGACAAGAATATTGTATCACTTAAAAGTTTATGGTAGTAAGCATTCCTCTACAAATAGTTAAATGGCAAAAATGTCACTTATTTTTTAATTTTATATTGATATATTGAAATTAATGTTTCATAAAATGTTACTCCATCTATCCCAATTTATAATATATTTTTTTCACAAAATTACACATACTAACAAAATTCAATAAATACACTTCATAATCTTTTTTTAAAACACAAATATAAATTAAAAAAAACCTTTCATTTAATATAACTTCATTTATAAAACATTAAATTGAGAGAAAATATGATAAGGAGAAAAGGGCAATATTGGAACAAGTATAATTAATAAAATTTTATTTTTATCAAAGTATCTTAAATTTTTAAACATGGAATCACCAAAAAAATATGGGAGAATGATATAGAGGTTTCAAGGGGACCAATTAATTCAACTTAAATATCAAGTTTTAAATTTCAGAAATTTACATATTCAACTTTTAATTTTACAATTTTATTCTAATGAATTTGCAACTTGTGTTTTAAATTTTAACAAGAAAAATAAATTTATTTATTTTTCAACCATATTAAAATTTAAAAAATAAGTTACAAATTCATCACAATGAAATTATAAAATTAAAAGATAAACTTATAAATTTCCGAAGTTTGAGACTTGAGATCTAAATTAAATTAATTATTTTTCTAGTGATCTCTCTGTTATTTTCCCAAAAAATAAAAATTTATGCACTAGGAAGAATGTAGTATAATGTTTACACGAGGCATGAGCGGGGATATCTCCAATACAGATCTTGGCAAAGCAATTTTCCAGAGATCAAAACAGGAGCGAAGCATGACCGAAACTCTTGAGCTTTAGCATTTCAAAACGTTGTCCCAATATGCACCGACATGTAACAGTACACAGTTTAATTTTGTTTCACTATTTTTAATTAGAGTAAATGAGAAAATTGCCCTTAAATTATGCTCCTTTCATTCAAAAATGAAAAAAAAATTTAACCCCTATTAAATAATTATCTACTTTCAAACTAATACTATCTTTTCATATTTACCCCTATTAAATATCTTATAATAAATATAAAGTCATTATCAATAGGAACACTTTAAAAAAAAATAATAATTACACCTCAAAAGACTAAAAATGCCTTACATTTATTAATATCTAACTTTTAAAAAATGTTTTATATTTTTTAACGGAAGGAGTGAGTCCAAAAATATTTAAGATCTTAGACTTATTTTTTATGAAATATTTTTCTTTAATTTTTAAAAAGAGGATAATCTGACCCTTGTCTTATTATTAAAAAAATTTAATTTTAACCGTTAGTCGATTAAAAAAATAAGCAACAAATACCTCAAAAGTTACCAAAAAAAAAGTCAAAGATTAAAAATTACAGTAAAATATCCAAAAATTAATTATAAGAATTGAAAAAAATTACAGAAAAGGATCAAGAAATTTTTTGATCTTATTATGTAATTTTTGAGGTACTTTTATGTCATTTTCTAGTCAACTAATGATTAATCTTAACTTTTATTAATAGCAGGATTAGATTGTGCTGTTGTTAAAAGTTAAAAAAAAATATTGTACAAGATAAGTTTAGAATTTCAAATGCTTTCAGATATGGGCCCGTTTGTTTTAACTTATTTCATGAAAAAATCACTGATTTTTTTTTCTGAAAAAGAGTTTATTTTTTGAGTTTTTATTATGTTTATTTAACATTTAAAAATAATCAAAATCCAAAAAAAAGAAGATTTTTAATTATTTTAATAAAGTAAATTGAGTAGTTTTTGAAAATAATTTAGTATAATAAATGAAAGAAAGTGTTTTAAACAAACAAGATATGCAAAGATATCATAAAATTTTAAAATAATATAATAATAAATTTTTTTATAAAACAAAAATTAAGAAATATATCATAAAATTTAAAAATAAATAACTAATAATCACTTATTTATTATTGTAACCAAACCTAAAATAATGTATGCTTTTTATTAAATCTCTAAAATAAATATCTTTTTATGAAATTTTTTAATTATTTAAAAATTATTTACTTTTTAATCTTAAACAAATAAAATAATGTAGTTTAGGAACCAATTTATTCATGTATCTTTTAATTAATTTTTAATTATTATTAATTAATTCATTGAAAGTTTTTTTTCCTGCCGGAAAATTCAATGAAAGTTGAAGCAGACCTTATCAATGTCTGTTGCCCGGTAAACATTGTCACCTTCATCCCTTTTGATTTTTTTTACCAGGTCTTCCGTGTTTATCCCGAATCTGACGTGGCAAAATCTTATATCTAATCCACACGCACTGCTGACTTCATATTGCCCCCTAATGCATTGTTGAAAATCACCCTTTGAAAAAAAAAAAAAAAACATTATCCAAGGTACTTTAATTTAATCTACTTTGTTTAATGCTGCTAATATTTAAAAAAATATTATTATCTTTCTGGCTAATTGCAGTTGCTTATTATCCAAGCGATTTGATGCTTATTTCCTATCTCAATTAAAGCATTGAGTTTAAATTTTAATTGGATTAGGTTCAAGCATCGTCAGTGCCCCCTTTAATTTCGGATAACTTCGTAAATATGTACGTTTTATTGTTATCAGGATAGTTATACATATGTATTATCTAAACCAGTTGAATTCAGATTAATCGAAATTCAATGTAACTTCTAAAGATTATTTGGTATATGAGAGAAAATATTATCTTACGTAATGCGTTAGTATAACAGAAGTAATTCAAAACGTTGTAAATAATATTTTAAGTTCAATGTTTATGCAATGAAAAATCAAGTTGATTAATCATCTCTCCATAAGAGGTTGACTGGAATCTGAATTAATTAATAATATCAAAAATTGATTTTTTAAATTATTATCGTATTATAGGTAAATGAAAAAAATGTAACACTCTTTCTGGTATCAAATATAAATCATAAATTAGGCTAAATTTCAACTATTTAAAGTGAATTTGAAAGCCAATTTTTCGTCATGATTTCTATTTTTAATTTAATAGAAATAAAATACGTAGTGAAAACAATATCTTCCAATTTCCAGCTATCAAGTTTAACTTTTGATTGAATTATACTAAACTCCTAAATTTTTAGTTATGCACAAATAACTTCTTTGACTTTTAAAATTTGAGAGAGAACCCTCTAAACTTTTAAATTTGTGCAGATAACTCCTATGCCAATTGTTCTGTTATTTTATTTAATTAACGAAGCATAATATATTATTAATCAAATATATCCTTTATATTTTATTTTGGCAAAGGTAAAACCCCTTCTTCTTCTTCTTTTTTTGGCCAAAACAAATATAACCCCATTCAAACTTTGAGTCATGAGTCGATAACATCTACTCCCTCTATTTAAAAATATAAAGTATTTTTTTAAAAGTTAAATGTTAAAAAATATAAAAATTTTTAATCTTTCGAGGTGCAATTATTGCCTTTTTATTAAAAATACCCCTGTTAATGAATGACTTTATATTTATTGTAGGTATTTAATAGAAATAAATATAAAAAGATAGGATTGATTTGAAAGTAAGTAACTACTTTATTAAAAGGTAAAATTTGATTAAAAATATTTTTTATTTTTTAACAGAGGGATTATAAATTATATGTATTGTATTAGTGAAATAATGAACAAATTAAATTGTTCTAATGATATGCATTATTGGAGCTGTTTTTTTTAATACCTTAAACACGGGTAATGGTTATAGTTTTAATAATATACTCCCACTGTCCTAGTTTAGAATATATTTTGAGAGGTGATTTAGCATCTTGAAATATAAGACATTTTAATAAATTCCTTTTAATATTACCTTTTCATCCTTATTATATTCTCTCCCTATATTATATTTCACAAATAAGTTAAGATTACATTAGATTAAGAGCATTTTTGGAGATTTGTATTTGTGTTTTAAAAAATAAAATTAAAAAGTTTATTTAAAAAACTAAGGAAGCATAGAACTTCAAATGGCTTAATGTATCCATTTCTATATCATATCCAATATCGATATGCATTGATACTTTTTTCAATACATATCTGCAATGTATCAGAATATTTATTTTTTTAATTTAAAAATATTTTTAATTTTTGATACTAATAATTTTTAGACTGTGAGTCAATACTTCATAACCAATTCTTGAAGGCATTTTTTAAGAAAATACATTTTGTTAAACTTGTTATATTAATATTTTTATTTCAAATATCTTTTTTTTAGTTGTTTTTAAAATCAATGATTAAAATTTCTTTAAAAATAGGCTTTTATGTTTCCAAAAATAAATATTAACCCATATCTTTTATTTGCCAATATCTTTTACTACTCATAAGTAATTTCATTATTTTAGATAGTAAATTGTAACAAAAAAATTATTTTAGATTGTAAATTAATTTTTAATTTTATTTTATTATTTTCACGAAAACTAATATTTAAAACAAAATGATTTGATTCAAAAATATATATTTTTACTTTTATCACTTTATATATATACACTTATATTTTTAAAAAAAATAAAAAGTATTGACACATCAAATATGTATTATATGTATTCTATCCGATTCATGCATCATATTAGTATGTATTATTGCATTAAAAAATTATCTTATAAACTTGGATGGAGGCCGGAGGTTACACATCAATTTCTAAAATTTTATGATGAGGTCATCCGTTCACGCCTGATGAGGGGATAATTATTTATTAAATCTTAATAACTGTCACAAATTAAAAAGCTTATAATAATTTTAAAAAATTCCACCTGACTATAGACTAACAATGAGATCCGGTGGGCGGTGGCTATCTCCTTAAAAATGGCATTAATTTGTCCACGAATATATGACTTAATATTCACTGACACGTACGAACCCAACGTCAAAATTTGAAGAAAGGTTAGAAATTCATTTCACTACTAAAATATATTACAATAACCTTAAAATTGAAATTAAAACAAAGAACTAAGAAATTACCCTATACAGCACAGCACTATCCTAGAACAGAATATGCCATTAACTAATACAGCTAACACTAATTGTAAAGTTAGTTTAAGGATTCTTTGTTCTCCCGACGGATTCGAGAAGCCCATGAGTGACTCCTATCGCCATATTTGTTAGTAGTTCTGTTCTTCAGCTTTGATAGTTGAGCTTCCCAACGTTCTCTCCATTCTTTATTCCGTTGAATCCTCTGTCAAAGCAATAACTCTGATTAGTTTTTCCCCCTTATTATTATAATAATTTAAAATTTAACCGCTAAAAAAATACAGACACTTTGATTGCAACGACAACCCAATTAGGATTTTTCGGGAAAAGAAAATCCAAGGTATAAATCAGAACACAGATCTGTAGTTCATGAAGAGGTATGGTTTTGAGATTCAGATTTATGAACAGTGGAACACTGGTTGATTATTGACTTCGTGAAACAAGCCAGGACAATCAACCAATTAAGGCAATAAAGTCATTGCTGATTTGAGCAAAAGTACAAACAAGCATTTATGAGATAACTTTTATTTGTCAAGAAAAATCTCAATTGGACAAAAAGTAAAACATGAAGGATTTTATAAAATGTTGACTGATAAAGAAACAGATAAAGCCTGGGATAAGGGAAATCTCTGGAAAAAGGCAAAGAGGAAAAAAAGAAGAATCAGATTCAAACTAAAAAGCCACAGAAGACAATCCAGACCCAACCCAAGTTACTAAAACCCGAACCAGTTCATCAATCGGTCTGATTTAAGAATTAAAACCATGATTAAACCGGTCAGAGACCAAGCGGTTAACTTGGATTTTCATTCTGTATGTCCAGAACATGAAAACAATTTGATATTCAATTAGCAACTTGAGATATTCACTGTTTCAGACATAATCTGACTTGGGAAATCTCAACTCAGATGGGGAAAAAGAAAAAAAAAAAAAGCCATGGAAAATCAAACTCCAAAACCAGAAACTGAGAATCAAGGGGGGTTGTGGGGAAACCTCTTCGTCGAAGTAGATTCCATAAGTAGCGTAAGCAAGCCCTCTGTCCATGCCTCTATCGTACATAGCTCTCTTTGTAGGATCAGACAAGGTCTCATAAGCTTCATGGAGCTTAATGAACATCTTCGTGTACTCGTCGACCCGATCCGGCGGCGACACATCCGGATGGTACTTTCGGGCAAGTTGCTTGTAAGCCTGCTTGATGTCGGGTAAGGATCCGGATTCGGAGATGCCGAGAAGCTCGTAGAAGCTAAATCCAGAGGGCTCAGCAACGGACAGAGACCTAACTTTCAATGAAACAGAACGCGACGACGCCGGAAGTCGAACGGAGGAGGATTTGAAAGATTTGGTGGTTGAAATTAATGGTGTTGGGAGGTTGAAGAAGCGAGAATCGCTTCCTGAAAGCGTTGATAATCCACTGTACAGCATGATTTCACTCTCTGTAAAATGCTTCTCTTCTTTCTTCTTCGTCTTCGTCTCTGTGTGCTTTGTCCCTGTTTGCGGGGTTCTATATATACACTGAGAATGGCTAGATTCTAGAAGAAAAGAAACCGTTCGAGTTTGTTTCGTTAATGGTATTTGGTAATTCAGGGGAGACTCTGGTTTTTTTATTTTATTTATTGAATTTCGGTCAAATTTATTACGTGGCAGTCCTCTATCCATTTGCCACGCGGTTATTAAATTCATTTGAAAATAAAAATAGTTTAACCAAAGCATATTTTATTTTATTTATTTTACATAGCTCCATTAGTTGTTCTTGAGAATTACTTAAACCATGATAATATTGATGATAAATACATTACTCCATCCCTCATACCTAAAATATAAGCATTTTTTAAAAATTAATTATGGTCTAAGATATGAACAATTTAATATTTACAATTTTTTTATTTTACTTTATATTTATTAACCTAAATTTTAGTGTTTATGAATTTATGATATTTTTCACACTCATTATAAATTGAAACTAAAGATAAAAATAAAAAATAATATATAGATATACGCATGCACACTTATATGAAAATTAGGATTTTATTAATATATAGATTATTATTAAAACTTACTTATATTTTGAATTTGCGGGAGTAAGATTTTCTGATCTTCCCTTGAAATACATATCTGATTTTTTCTTTCCTTTTTCTGAATTTCTTCTAGAAGTTGAGGACATTTGTAAAGGTTATTAACTAGGTGGATATTGGGAGCATTTATGCTTTCGATGGAAATAATAAAACCTCTAAAATTCAACCGAAAAATAAAACATCTAGAAGGCAGAAATTTCTAAACAGTTTTTTGAAAAAAATTATGATTGAATTCTTATAATTAATATTTTCTAAATTTATAGTAGCATTTAATATAAAAATTCTTTATAACATGTATTCATCCATCCAATTTTATTGATATAACTTGTATCTAACACATCTACACATACAATTTATATTAACATCAATGATAAAAATGTGTTACAAAATATAATCAATTTAATATTTGTAAAAATTTATTTTTTTCATTTTATCTTTATATTTTTTAACGTAAATTCTTATATTTGTAAATTTATAACCTTTGTTTACTCATCATAAATTGAAATTAAGGGTAAAAAAATTAATATATATCCATATATTTGCATGAAAATTAAGATTTTATTAATATATAAATTATTATTAAAAAATATTTATATTTTGAATTGAAATAAAATTTTTAATTTTCTCTTAAAATATATATCTATTTTTTTTTATTTTTTTATGAATCTCTTCTAAAAGTTGAGGACATTTAATTCCTTCTAGAATCTGAAAACATCTACGTACTAGTAGCACATGACATTTATTTTATTTTTGTAAAGGTTATTAATTAGGTGGATATTAGGAGCGTTTATGCTTTTGATGGAAATAATAAAAACTCTAAACTTCCACCGAAAAATAAAACATCTAGAAGGCGGAAATTCCTAGAGAGTTTTAAAAGTAATTATAGGAATTCTTAAATGTGACATGATTTTATATTGAGACCCAAAAATTTTTAAAATTTTACCACAAACCTAAAAGACTCAAATGAAATAAATTATCTTGATTAAATAATTATAACTCTCTTCAATTATAATAAGAATTATTAAAATAACAAGTCAAGTCATAAGTTTTAAAAGTAATAATACTAAAATAACAAGTCAAGTTATAAGTTTTACAAGTAATTTTATTATGATAAACATAATTTTTTGTTATTCTTATAATATTATTTGTAAAAACTATAACTTAACTTATTATTATATAATATTATTTGTAAAAAGCATAACTTGACTCATTATTTTAATAATATTATTTGTAAAAATTGCAATTTGACTTGTTAGTCTAATAATGTTACTTATAAAAATTATAAATTAACTTGTTATTTCAGTCATGTTAATTATAATTGAAGGACATTTTAATTATTTGACTAAGAAAATTTATTTTATTTCAATCCTCTGAGTTTGCAATGAAATTTTAAAATTTTTTAAATTTTAATTGAAATTATGTCACATCCAAAAATCTTTAATAAAATTCTTCCAAAATTACAATTGAATTCTAATAACAAATTGTTTTTAATTTTACTTTTAGTATTCAATGTACAAATTCTTTATAACATGTATTCATTCAATTTTGTTGATACAACTTGTACCTCACACATTTACTCATACAATTTATATTAACAGCAATGATAAAAATGTGTTGCAAACTGATTGTAATAACCCACAACAAACTTAGTTTGGGTGTGCCTCCTGTTAAAAAAAAATTGTGTTACAAAATAAAATTTTAAAAATCACATAAATAATTATAATTATTTAATAAAAACTGTACAATGTACATATAAAATTAAAATTTGATTAAAACTTCTGCGGGGCTCGTACATTGTATGGAGTTTGAAAAATTAATTGTATTATTTGTTATTTACAGTCTGAGCTTTTACGTTATTTATAAAAAGTGCATATATAATTACATTTTCTTATACATTGTGTAGACTTTAAAAAATAAATCATAATATTTATAAATGTAAAATATATTGATTAACAATTAGTGAGAAAAGGCTTATTATTATTTTAATTATTTTTAATTTCCAATATTTTAAGATATTTTATCAACAAATTATACTTTATTCAAGATTGTGATTTTAATATTTTTATTCTTAATATCTTTTAATCGTACGTCCTTAAAATAAAAGAATGTATTTTCTAAAATAATAGGATTCTTATATTTTTAAAAATAAATATTTTATTATTTTCCAATATCTTTTATAATCTACTTTTAAATATTTCATCGTTTTAAGTTGGAAGATAGGTTGTAGATCTTTTTATTTTATTTCGGTATTTTCCATGTGATATGAGGAAACTAATATTTAAAACAAAAAGATTAGATTTCTCCTAAAAAAATGTTTTAGATATAATAAAAATAAATATTATATTTTATTAATTATAAGAATGTAAGAATGAAATATATTGACATAAAAACCCTAAGCAAGAACAATTTACAATTGCGTACACAATAATAAATATTATGTTTTGCATGGTATTATTATCATAGAACTATATAATTATAAGTATGTTGGTTTAAATATTTGTTAATTGTAATTATATTTTTAGTGTGTTTTATTTTTAAAAATATAAGTATAGGCGTATCAAATACACATTGTATCCAATTCCCATCTTGTACCTTTGTATCCTAGATAAGCACAAATGTTTTTTTTTTTTTTTCCCCGGCCATGATAAGCGCAAATGTTAAAGGTAAAACAAATCAGCATTATGGCTGCCTTCGCTTATCTATTTACTTTAACAAAGGAAAACATTTGAATTTTTTGGTTTCCATCTTTTTCCTCCCTTCTAGAAGATAGAAATTGTCCGTTAACAACCATCTTTTAATTTAATAAACATACATTTCATGTATACGAGGATAATCAGGTGGAATTTGAAAGAATTCATGGTATAAAGTTTAAGGCTCTATAATTAATTTTATTGGCAAAAATGCTATAATTAATTCAGGCTTCAATTAAGGTTTTACAATTTGCAAGAATGAAGTCCTTTGGTGTAAAAACCTCAAGCAAGAACAATTTGCAAATTTCTATGCAAAAATGAATACTATGTTTTGCTTGGTATTATTATCAAAAGACTATATAAATTTACTAGTTTTAATATTTATTGAATTGCAATTATTTTTTTAGTGTATTTTATGAATATATGCATGCTAGGGTTCTTCCCTTCCCCCTTTAGGAGGGTTTCTCCTAGAACCGGTAATTTAGGCAAGCTGAAACTTATTCAGGTCGTACTGAATTCACATTAGGCTAAAAAGCCCATATATTTAAGTTCGGTCCTAACACTTTCAGGCTTTGGGTTTATTTGATTTGGCTCAAATACTTGAAACTTTTTTAAAATATTTTTCTTTATTTTTTAAACAAATTTTTTAAATAATTTTGTCAAGCATAAAATATTATTTTAACTTTAAAAGAATAAAATAAAAAATAATAACTTATCAATTTTGTACTATGTTACTATTTTATTATATTATATGTAATTTATTCTTGAATATTTTCTTTATTTATAAATTAATATCTCAGTTTTTTAAATATTGCTTTTATTATGATCATATACAAATATTTTATATATTTTTAATTAAATTATATTATTTTAATTATGATCAAGTTGATCTCAATTCAATCACAGTTAGACTATTAATTTAAAATTATTATCCTCGATTAGCACAAAGTTTTTAACAATTTTTTGATTAACTTTACTTTTCATTTATTAAGAATATGAGAAAAATAGCCATTGTTATATTATCTAAAATAAAATCATTTAACTATGAGTAAAATACTAGTTTTTTTAGAATTATTTTTTTCTTTAAATTTTTATATTGTTTAACCCTTACATACAAAATGTTTTTACTCTAGTTTATTTTTAATTTTTAACCAAGTTTGGCATTGATGACAACCAAATAATTATTCAATAATATTGTTTTATTTATTATGTTTATCTAGTATACAGTCAAGAATTTTTACATGCTAGAATTTTATTTTTAAAATTATTTTTAATTTTATTTTTACTTCAAAATTAATTATCTTATTTTATAAAAAAGTATAAAATATATTTTTGTTGGATATGCAAATGATGTATAGGACTCAAAACTTAAAAAAAAAAAACAATGGGGTCTTAAAATATAAAAATCAATATTAAAAATATTTTAAATATTATTTTGATATATTTTATTGATTAAAAATAATAAAAATATGAAAATATAAATATTTTTATTTTTTTTAAAACTATAGCATTGCACTCAAATATATAGTATTTTAGTATAAAATGACATAAAACTTAAAGAATTAATTAGTATTTATTATATATTTTTTAAAAAATTTTATTCAAATATTCAAGCTAAGCTCGAACCCAATTGAGCTTGGCCCAAACATTAAAAATTAATATTTCTTGGGCTTGGCCCTAAATTTTTTGATTAATTCGTTAGACTTGGCCTAAATTACTAGCTCTAGTTTCTTTTATGCATGTGAAAGTCCTTGCACAATTGGGCTGAGCAGCATCTACGCTCTTAAGG